TTTGCTTTATTTGAAGTTTACTTTATGAGTAAAAGAAAGTTTTTTTTCTCAGTACATAATAAACTCACTAAAATATACAAAAGTCATAAACTAATTAAGTGTACTTTTACTATATATCATATCATATATTAAATGCTATTGTTTACTCAGCGTCATTGAACCACGTTGGCAATGACTGTTTCTGTCAATTTTTTGTGGAACTTTGGTATCTGGTATTATGTTACTCTTGTATCTGAACGCTATGTCACTGGCATTTTGCATCTCTAATGCAATGAGGAATACGTACATATTTGTAAAATTTATTGTTATTAAATGAGTAATGATTTTTAAATTTATTTTAACTTAAACTTACCAGAGTTTTATATTAAAAAAAATATTATATAATTTATTGCAGCATTTTTTAAGTTTTTGCACAGCATTTTTATATCAACGAATTTATTGAAAAGTTATAATTTTTTCCTTTTTGGTATAGATTTCCTTAAATAATAACAAATATTATTACTTGTAATTTTGGTTTTGTGAAAGTATATGCCATAATTTGTTTATCTTATATATTTATTTTAATCTCTTCAATTAACGTTTATTATTTACAAAATTAAAATGAATGGCAAACTATCAACAAATAATTTTATTTTAATATTTACGATATCAAGTATCGACATAGGTTATGCTTAAGAGTAAATAAATATATCACACTTTTTGTAGGCTAAAGAAGCATCCCTGCTGTTCTTATTATAAAATGTCATCCTCCTAGTATTTTTGTTATATTTTGTTATTATTATAGTGGGTTTCTGTGATGTGTGATTTCTTTATCAAAACTGAAATATATAGCCCTTCTTCGTTTTAGAGCCGTATATCTGCTCAATAGCTGAGAGTTACGTCTTTCCAAAGGTTGCAAATAACGTCATTATAATCATGTTTTTTTTTCAAATTTATGTTGTGAAGCTATATATATCCACCTAGTGTAGATACTTTCTATTAAGAAGATCCATTAGATCCAAATAGTTTCATAACTTAATCTGTTTTGCTTTATTTTAAGTTCTATTCTATTTTTTTATCGATTTGTTTTCTTCATTGATATTGCAGATATATTTATTATTCTTTATTATAATGGGCCCACATAAATGATGGGCTGCCAGTGACTTTTACCATCTTCATTCACACTATTTTCCGTTTTTATATGTTCTAACATAAATAGTGTGTTGTAGTGTATGGAAAATCTCTAACATATTAAGATGTTATATTTATATATATATGTATAAATAAATAATTTTTTTTTATTCATATATTTAAACCAGTATTAATAAAATTCAACTGGGTACGATACATCATATAATATCTTTTTATATCACCTCTAAATACACTCAAGTGAATGACATCTCTAACAAATATATTAAGAGTCAATACACAGGAAATGCTAATTTAGTTTCTTATTTAGTAACCTGTTTAAGTCTTCATTCATGACAGTCAAAATAATTCACTACATAAATAAATCATATTACATTTTGTATATATACAATAAATCAGACAATGACAACGCTGCTTCGAAGTAATTTCCAATTGTTGTGGTCATTTCTAAATCTGTCTTGACACAGATTCATACACTTGCTGTCAAATACGTACTGACTTGGATGCCATTGTAAAGATCTGTATTTATTTGTGGAGTAAAATATTTCATCTTGCACTTGTCAGTACAAAACCACAATGCAACTCTCATTACCGTTTCCAAGTTGCAATTGCTGCCAACGCCTAATACTGGAGCCATTCATTTAATGCCATAGAAAATATACTTTGAAATATGGTCATAACCACAATACACAAAAGGGAAATATATATTTTATAAAAAGATGAGTTTTCAAAGCCAAACAATAAAACTAAACAAAACAAAAAAAAAAACAAACCAAAGTTGTTTATTGTAAAACAAAACTGTATCTGTTGTAATGCTTTGTCTTAGAGTATCTTTAAATAAAAATACTAGAAACCGATACGTAAACGTCTGGTGCAACTCGAAATGACTTTATTTGTAAATGGTATACATACTATGTTATATATTCCTAGAAATACTACAAATGGTTTTAAATAACTGTTGTCAACTACAAATATAAATAAAGTTTGTTTGTTTTTAAGTCCTCAAATAACTATTTGCAGTAAAAATAAAAGTATCTCAATTTTCTTTCACTTAAAAGTACTTCAAATTAGAGTAAAATTTTTCTGAATTTATCGCACGCTTTTGTCATTAAATATTTTTCACCTAACCACAAATTACCTAAGTTTATGTATATATTTTGATATATTCATTTATATGTATATATAAAATTGAATAGCTATAACATAATAATTATTATGATTACTTGCACAAAGATATGAGTTTCAATTTATAGATTTGTTGCGGTTTCGTTGAAGTTTAGATACATAAAATCGCCCAAGTGTTCGTTTTTTAATTTAGATACGTAATGCATATAAATATTGTTTTTTTATCGTTTTTATTATTTATTTATTATTTTACGCGCTTTTTATATATTGTTGATTTTTATATATCTGTATGTACAATACTAATTTAAGAAAAATATATTTGTAATTTTCTCCATTTTTCAATTTAATTAAAAAAGCAAATGTTATCATTAAATCAGTTTCATTTTTATTACTTTAAGTGTAAGATTACACTAAATTAGTTTAAATTTAATTAAAATTTTACTAATTTATATAAAAAATTTGCTTTGTTAACACATCTTATAAAATATATAATATTTTAACTTTTTATTTTATTAATATTTCTGTGAAAATGGTGTCTGATCTTTTTCTTAGAATTTAATTTGTAAAGTCAACTTTATTTTCATATTTTCTCTGTATTTTTATGTTTATTTGACAGATTTACAGTTTGACAATTGATTTTAGTTTCGATAAACAATATTTTTAGCGATTGTTGCTATAACTGCTTCTCCGTATTAAAAATACTTTCAGAAATTTTGTATTAAAATATTTATAAAAAAAAAACCTATTTTTAATCGTAATAATCACCGAAGTGCCATGCCAGCAAGTACATTAAGTCCACCATGTTTTTGTTGCGGTGATGATAGAATATCAAGAAGTAATTGTTATGATATATCTTCAAGTTCTGTAATATATTCTCGGTACCAATTTATAATTTACATTCAATTCAGATTTTTATTCTCAAATCGTGTAATACTAATTTTATATACAATTTATTACAAAGATAATTAATTTTTTATTTATCTCTGTTCTTTCATAGCCTTTATATATATTTGTTCTAAATGATATAATGATCGTAATATCATTTTTAATGTTATTTTTCTAGTTTTTCTGTGGCTAACCTAACGCTTACCTACTTTAGCATCAAATCTTTCACTACATGCTCTCTCTGGTCTTTTCATTACATGGCCATACTAGAGAAAACATAATACTATCAGTTTTGCGTCAATAGAAGGGATTTTGCAACTATCTCAAAGTTGTTCTGTACATTAACTAACAATTTCACGGCACTGACTCACCACAGTATACATATTTTTATCATATGAAGTTTCTGTTCTTTATCAACCATTACGTTGTCAAACGGTACTGCGCCATTCTTGATATATCAGCCGATCACTTTTTCTCCTTTGTCATTATCGATGAAACTTTATTTTTAAATGTTAGTCTTGGGCGTCGAACAAGTATTTTTCCCTTAGTTGTAGTGGCCGTCATTGTGGATTTTTGAATACGGCGTTATTAGACACTTAGGTGACTGAAATGCTTGGGTAGTGGCTTTAGAATTTATGTTAAATTTGTTTTTAACTAATTGTTTCTCGTTCTGTCCCGCCTAGTGTGCCCCACAGTTATTTTTTAAAAACTATATTTCTACATCTATATCTTTACAAGGTTTTTGCCATTTGCTGGTCAATGTTCTGCTCCGTACAGTAGAATCGGTTCGACCACGGTAGTGTAGATTAGAAGCTCAGTTTTCTTATTTAAATACTTTTCGTTTTTAACTGTCGATAAGCGATCCTTTTTTGTGTAGTATATAGTAAGAGATGTTAATAAAATCTATTACTTAAAAACTTATATTTACTATGATATTAAAATCCACAACCTCTGTTACTTTAATTTGCATCAAACTTATATCAAATTATCAATCGTTTCGAATTTTTTGATTATTTACTATAACTTTTAATAGTTATTAGTTTTAACTAATTCTTCCTTAATATCTTTTAAATAACAGATAAAGCAGAAATATTCCTTTAAAATAGTTAATGTTTTAATATTATTAAGTAAATTTTCCATTTACAAAATTGGATTAATTACTTTAGTTTTTTATGTCCCTTTCTCATTGCATTTTATTTTCATATCGAAACTACCACTTATATAGACAAATCTTGCTTTTTCAATAAATCCAATTATTTAAGAATTTGCAATATTAAAATATATCTACTACTTAATGTGTCTATTTTACATTTTCTATCTTTAAGTCTTCGTACTTTCTAAGCGTGTGCCAATGCGCATTCCACTTTAATTTTCATTCTAAGTACCAAGTTTTGCATATAATGGCGTGTAAATTGCATATAAACATACTTACACATTCTTGAAGTATAATTTTCGCAAATATTTGCATGAATTTGCCATTTTCTTAATACAAAAAGGTCTACTTCACATTATGTGTGGAAAATAAGGTTAACACAACTGCAAGTACAATTTTAAGAATATGTAAAATATCTTTACTTAAAAAATATCAGTAGAATAACGTCAGTTTTTTGCATAATATAGATAGTTAATTAGCAAATATACAAACCTTAATATCAGTAATTTGCATCTTATAAGTGCTTATGACTTTATACAATAATAAATGAATTTTAATTTAAAATAAAATCAAGTTATCCCAATTATCTATCTCGCTTATAATGTAGATGATGAATATGTTTCAATCGTTTCTTATAAAATTTCAGTGTAGTCTAAAATATTACGTATATCTCGCTATAACCAGTGCTTTAATAAGCTATAGAAACGTGATATTGTAAGTACTCTCATATTTTCTTTGTTCCCTTGTCCTTAAAGTACCTATGACTATCGCACATAATTCCTCCTGTTCTCCCCGATGTTTCAGTTTTTCTTAATAGTTGAAGAAACTTATTCTTTATAAGTCATTGTTCACTCCATCTATGCATGTTCGTTGTTAGTAAACAT